ATACCATGAGTTTGGCAACCCTGCAGGTATGACTTTTGAGATTGTTTGTTTACAACTTCAAGATCTCATGGATGGTTCATATTAATTATGGTATACAAGTGTCATGTTGAAAGTAAAACGAGCATAAATAACACGCGTGTGGTGAGTTCATTCATTCCGCTTGGTTCAATGATGCCAAACGAGTGTGTCATGAAGGAACTGAGAAACACGAGCACAGAATTAAATATAGTTTGATTACGAGCAAGGATTACGAGTTCAAGCACCACCACATCATCACAAACATCGATTCTTATCTTTGAGTTCATCTCGATAAAGGCAGAATGGGAGAAAATATCATTAGGCTTATATTTACCTAGATTTTTGGGCCTACGGCCTACAGAACTGATCTTAACCTGTATAGCCAAGCCGGATCCAAACCAAGACATGGAAGACAAGCGATCAAGGCAGGGAGGACACCAATTTTACTATTAACCCATCTTACTATTTACTGTTAAAAAAATGTACATGTTAGAAATATAACAAGATGTGTGGTATGCATGTGTTAAATCTATATGAATTTCTGTCTGTCTGTCTGTCTGACCCTTATAGACTCGGAAACTGCCCAACCGATCGGCGTGAAAATTAGTAAGCAAGGAATCCTGATGAATGTGGGCGTCTTAGTGGAATACCCGTATAATGAGAGAGAGAAGGATTAGTCATTTCCAATTAATGCCACTACCTTATTTGCTTATCCTTGACAGATACGCATATTTCGTCTACAATGTGCAGACTTCTTCAGTGTCTTATACTAATACACGTCTTAGACTAGTAGTCGAGTATTAGTGCAAGACACTGAAGAAGTCTGCACATTGTAGACGAAATACGCGTATCTGTCATGGATACCAAAATTAATTAAGTGGAATTAAATGGAAGATAAACCCTTTTGCTGTTTTAAGTTATTTTTCTTTTTAAGTTCAATTACTATAAAATATAGAAAAATATTCAGCTAAGCTTCCGGTTGACCGAATCCGAATTGCCGTTTAATTCATGCAATGCCATGCTGTGCCAGTTTGCCTTAAACTGATCCCGCTTCCAACAGTTTTTTGGGTCTTCTTCAGGTGCGATGACGATTGACGATGACCCATATATATTTTTCGATTGGGCGGTTGTGAGGGTTCCTGCCCTTGGGTACCACCTGCACGTTGTTGGCAGCATACCACTCCATGGCCTTTTTTCCGTAATGACAGGATGCCAAATCCAACCAAAACAACACGGAACAATCGTGTTGCTTCAGGAAAGGCAGCAGACGTTTTTGCAGACACTCGTTCACGTAACTTTCCTAGTTGACGGTTTCGGTTGCAATGAAAATGTCGCTTTTCAAGCCACCACAGGTACAGATAGCCTGCCAAACCATATATTTCTTAGAGAACTTCGACCGTTTCCTATGCTTGCCCCATCCGGTTGCCGTATGAAACTCCTACTCAGGAAGCTGTTTGAATTGTTTGAAGTGCAAGTATGTGTTGGTTAAGGAATGGCCAAAGCAGAGAAATGACTGCAGGGGACTTTCGACCGCGTTTGATTTACAAAACGTGTTTATTATTACGTAGTAGCGAATAAGGAACTAAGTATTTTCCTTGATTTGTTTTCCGTCGATCTTGTTTTTCGTGCTGAGCACCATTGCTACCGACGCCAGGGAGGCAGCTCCTACACCTGGACCCTACTTATCAACCCATCAACTCATGAACCGGGGACCAACGGCTTTACTTCCCTTCCGAAGGAAGGCGTGATCAGAGATGTTATGCCTCAAAACATCCTGGTGGCACCAACTGGGATTGAACCCAGGTCTGCTGGGGTGAGAGGCAATCACGCTTACCACTACACCACAGGCGCCGCTAAGGAACTAGGTAAACAAGAAAGCAAAGTTAATACATTTCAAGGTGTTGATAATTTCTCTCTTTGCTTATGTTCAGTGTGCTAGCGCCTCTGACGTAACAGCCACCAACACTTCTCCTCGCTGAACACTGAACTACCTGCTCTTACTGCTTTCTGATGAACCCGAGACTCTTCGTGAACTGACCAATCTTCATTGGACCCAAAGGCTTCGTGAAAATGTTGGCAACGATGTTTTCAGTGGGGCAGTGTTTCAGCTGAATAACTTATCTAGCACACAGATCCTTAGCAGGATGTAACTTAATGTCAATGTGCTTACCGCGCTTGTTCTGCCGCTCCAATGAAACAAAGTCGATGCAGTTTCGATTATCCTCATAGATAACTGTAGCTGCCTGCTGTTTCTCACCGAGTGCATCCAGCAACCTGCGTAACCAAACCGCTTCCGACGCCGCTTCGGAAAGGGCGATGTACTCAGCTTCCATCGTAGATGTCGCCACGCAATTCTGTTTGCGGCTCGCCCAACTAACCGTCGCATGACCGACTTGAAACATGAACCCGCTGGTAGACTTCCTATATCGCGAATCTCCCGCCCAATCCGCGTCGCTGAATCCGCTGAGTGTCTATTCTTTAGCTTTTCCACCATTCAGTCTCAGTTCGTAGTCCTCCGTTCCGATTAAGTACCGTACCACCCTCTTCAGTTCAACCCAATCCATCTGAGTGGGACAGCTACTCTTCCTGCTTAAAATTGACACCACCACCGAGATGTGTCAGGTGTTGTATTTGTTGACACATACAGGAGGTATTGTTCATTGTCAGGCAATGCCTCGCTGTTCTGCTTCCAGTACCCAACATCCAAAGGGTACTTCGACTGCTTCGCTTTATCTAGCCCGAAACGAACAGCAATCTCTGTTGGAATACCATCACCAGCAAGCGGCGCACGCGAATGCGGAGACTGTGGTTAATGAACTCCGTCAGCGTTTCTGGATCCCGAATCTTCGGACAGAACCTTTGAACTCTCAACGGTAATTATGAACACTAGCTCAATAGTAATCTTTTGGTACTTTTTCAGACAAAATCGAAGTCTACCATAACAGTCAAATTCAACAAGGAACCAGAAACCATCACGCTAAAGGAGCTGCAGGCATTATCAATATCAACAGAAAGAAAGTCGCTTAGTAGCAATCCAAAAGAACTATCAAAAGAAGGGGAAACGAAACTACAAGCATTTGTTGATATACCCGCGCCACTAAAAACCCTCTGTACGCACAGAGGACAAACGAAGGGAAATTAAACACTGGCGGAGACGGGAGATCGAAATCCGGACTGAAAATAATGGAATCGAATTTGTATAGCAAGCGGACTGTAATTTTATTCTTTACTGGTTGACGGTTACACGTGTACTGAATGGATTTTATGTTCTTCTTTACTCTCGATGCTCGCTCGCACAGCGGAAGTCGTGCATTTCAAAAAACTTTCTTGAAACTGGGGTTCAGCACTCTCAATCGAGGGGTAGGAATGGCTCGCGAACACCCTCCATATGTAACTTTGGGGACAAAGATGCTTAAAGGGGGAGGAGTTAGTAATAACGCGACCCGCTTCATAAATTAACAGATTCCCACCACCACACCGGATCCCAAACAATAAACACTTTCATCGATTAGCCGAGTCAGTGAATTGCTGTTTTTCGACGGAATCGCAGGGTAATCACCAGAACGCATTAGCAGAAACAATTAAACACCGGCATTGTTTCCACACTAGACACTAACAAGAACACATTTTTTTGGACTTCCTTCCAGGGAAATCCTTAACCGATGACTTTAAAGAAAGTAACAAAGAATTTTGCAGTAGATTACGAAGATACGATATGACAGAGCATACTAACTGTACAAAACACAAGTAATGTTCACACGGCTGTCAACAAAAGCAGACCACTCTCGATGTGTGCCACGCGATCGTCTGTTTTCTCGGCAGCAACCATTGTGTGATCCTCCTCATTGTTCTTCATCAACAGTTCTTTCGGTCGATGCGTCGTCGACTTTGGAAAGCAACCGTTTCGTGATGAGTGTGTGAGTGCTGACCACGTTTTGCATCCATTGCTGCAATGGAAGCGCGCTGCCCCTCGATGGCGTAACTGCCATACAATGAAACCACTGGAAGCGACTCCAGTTCTGATGGACGAGGCTTTTTGGATAGCGGAAGATAAAGTGTTTATTGTGTTGTACCTTTTGACTATATTTTTAAGATGTCTTGTATAGTGACCAAGAATCCTCGGCTCTGTAAAGTTAATTCGTTTGAGCCTTATCGAACAAATTAAATTAATTACAAGTAATGCTGCGTATAAGCGACTTTGCCTATTGATCCACCCAATCCGTTTTTGGCCCTTCATGCAGCGACATGTTGAAGACAATCAGAGGTTATTAAAAAACAATGCTATCGGGCTTAGTTTCCGTACTACAAAATGATGAGTTGACAACCTGAAAGGAGCGTGGTACCTAGCTCGGTCCTCACAAGTCCCTACCTCACGCCTCCACGAGTCATATGATTACAAACGACTGTAACATGGACACAGCTGGGTGGCGACGGTGGCGTAGCCTGGGCAATGCTATCAATGCGGCAATATCAATTGAGGAGGTGCGGCGCGAACACTGGCACGATAACCGAGGCCTACAGCGCCGGTGACGACGATCCTCTTTGATCATCGTGATACTCTATGCCATTAGAATGGTTAGCAGAATGGTGTGACGACATCAACTTCAGCGTTGAAGAACCACCGGTACGGATTGGCCAAACCCGTTGATGGTATTGGATGTTGCGCTGAGAAGGAGAGTGCCATGGATTGCTCCCTTTGTTGGATTGGTTGTACACACCGATTCTCTACTTCTACGACGACAGAATGATTTTGGACAGTAACTGGTTTTGACATACTGACAGATGCTGACACGGTTGTGCCAGGCTTTACAGGACAATACTGATATTTATTTCAGGACTGGACAGGACATCATTATGGACGTTTAACATGCTTGACTGACTGGACGACATTACTGATAACTGGACTGGTTGAACTGGTTTGTGGATCCCGAGTTGTTCGAATAGTGAACGGAAGCGCGCCGAAGCGCTGAAGCGAAGGAGTTTCAATTCTCCTCAGAAGTGGACACAGCTTGATTGTCCCGAATGGGAAGGACGCAAATCTTCGAGATAGCTCTCCGGAAAAGACCGTCCTTCGTTCTCACGGTCACTACACGGATATTCCCATCGGAACCCGCGTGAACCTCTACTACTCGTCCCAACTTCCATTTCATCGGTGGAAGATTGTCCTCTTTCACGAGAACCATTGTATCAACGGAGATGTTATTGCGTCGACGAGTCCACTTGGTTCGGTTATGGAGATCGGACAGGTATTGCGAGGACCATTTCTTCCATATCTGCTGCACGAAGTCTTGCGATTTTTGCCACAGTGAAAGACGATTCTCCGGGATATAACTGAGGTCCGGTTCTGGAACAGCTGTTAGCGGTCGCTGAACCAGAAAATGACCAGGCGTCAATGCTTCGAAATCCGTTGGGTCATTGCTGATCGGCGTCAACGGACGGGAGTTGAGGATCGCTTCCACTTGAACTATCACCGTTTGCATTTCATCGTGCAATAACGTTCTGGATCCGATGGTGCGTTTGAAGTGGCTTTTGAAGGATTTTACGGCAGCTTCCCAAAGGCCACCGAAATTGGGCGAACGTGCTGGGATGAATCGAAATTCTATCTCGTCTTCTTCAGCTTCATTTACGATCGACTGCTGGAACTGCTGGTTACGGAATAGTTCGTGTAGTTCGTCGAGTTTGCGCCTTGCTCCGACGAAGTTGAGAGCGTTGTCACACATTACCAGGGTTGGTTTGCCTCTTCGTGCGACGAAACGCTTGAATGCTGCGAGGAAGGCTTCGCTTGTTAAATCTCCCACCAGCTCCAGATGAACAGCCTTCGTGACCAAGCAGACGAAGATTGCGACGAAATATTTACGCGGAGTTGTACGACGATTGGGATAGGCAACCAGAAAAGGTCCACAGTAATCGACACCAACTTTCAGGAACGGTGGCGCGGGTGTAACTCGTTCCGACGGCAAATCTGCCATCAGCTGATCCAACACTTTCGGTCTGCATCGGAAGCACGGCACGCATTCGTTGATTACGGTGTTGGCTAATCTTCTGATCTGCGTGGGCCAGTACTTCTTCCGTACTCTACTTATGAGAAGCTGTTGCCCAGCGTGGAACAATTTCTGGTGGTAGTGTATGACTACTAGTTTGCTCAGGGGATGATGATAGCTGAGAATCGCTGGATGCTTGCGACTCGCTGGAATAGGTGCCTTAGATAGTCGACCACCTACGTACAGTACCCCATCAACGAGAATTGGTGTGAGTCTGTTGATCGATGGCGACGGCTTGACTTGATTTCCGCTCTGGAGTGCAGAAATCTCCTCCGGAAACGATTCCCTCTGAGACAAACGGATTAGTGATAGCATAGCTTCTTGGAATTCAGCGTGACTGAGATACCCATTGCGTCTTTCTTCGCGATGGTGACAGTTGTGGATGAAGCGACGAATCCATGCAACTTTACGGATCAGCGTAGATAGAGAGGAATGAAGTGAAAAGATGTCGCTGTGTGGCTTGGACTGTGCTGGAATTGCGACTGCACTTCGTTCTTCTAGCAGTGATTGCTCGAAATCTTCCTCAGGACTTCCCACCGGCCAGGTGCTGCGGTCTCGACGCAGCCATGGTGGACCTTCAAACCAAATCGTGCTGTACTGAAGCTGAGCCGGTATCATCCCTCGTGACACGATGTCAGCTGGGTTCTCCAAGCCAGCGACATGATTCCAATCGAAACCCTTCGTAATGTGCTGAATCTCGGACACGCGATTCGCTACGAACATCTGCCACCTCGATAGCAGCGAAGATAACCAATGCATTACGATTGTCGAGTCTGTCCAGAAGCTTGCGGTGTGCGGAATACGAATACTGTGCTTGACCTTCTCGTACAGATGACTGAAGAGCAGTGCGGATGACAACTCGAGGCGAGGGGTGGTTAACTTCTTCTTGTTGCGCTTGAGATCCTCCAGTGGTGCTACTCTCGATTTGGAAATCAGCAGGCGAACTTCTACTGAGCCAACCGACAGCGTACAACGCATGTAGAGGCATGCACCGTATGCCTTGTCTGATGCGTCACAGAAACCGTGCAACTCGACCGAAATTGCATCAGATGTGTATCCTATCCACCGAGGAATTGAAAACGACGAGAGGGCTGTCAAATTCATCCTATACTCCTGCCAAAAGTTCTGCATCGCTTCGGGTAGTGGATCATCCCAACCGCACTGCTGCTTCCACAATTCTTGGAGAAATATCTTGGCAATGACGACAACTGGACCCATCCCAACTAACAATTTTAACTGCAACTCAGCTTATACAGGCAAAAATTAGCTGCATAAGGCAAATTTTGGCAGTATAAGCTAATCTGCAGCTAAAATTGTTTGTTGGGATCAAGCCTAACGGGTCAAACAGGCGAGCTGCTTCTGCGAGAACGACGCGTTTTGTGAGCACTGCTTCGTTTTCCCACTTAGGAGAATGGTATCGGAAATTGTCTGAATGCGGCTCCCACAGTAACCCCAAAGTTTTCACTGGTGAAGTTGAGGAATCAAGCTCTAAAGTGGCACGATTATCGAGGAGATCGGATGGCAATTCGGCTAACAATTCCTTGCAGTTGGAGTTCCACTTTCGCAGGTTGAATCCACCTGATGAAGTTAGCGTGATCATTTCCTTTGCCAGCTGCTTCGCTTCGTCGACGTTGTCCGCTCCAGTCAGCATGTCATCGACGTAAAAATCTTCCTTCAACACCTTAGCTGCGCGAGGATAAGCGAGAGCTCCTTCTTCTGCCAGTCGCTGTAAGCACTTTGTCGCCAAGTATGGTGCAGATGCAGTCCCGTAAGTGACAGTTGCTAACTCGTACGTTCGGATCGGTTCGTCAGGGGAATCTCGGTAGACGATCCGCTGTAGGCATCGGTCGAGTAGATAGATGTGTATCATCCGATACATTTTTTCCACATCCGCTACAATGGCAATGCGGAACAAACGGAATCGGAGTGTGATGGCGATCAAATCCTCCTGAACTACAGGTCCAACCATTAGCGCATCGTTGAGCGATACACCGCTGCTGGACTTACAGGACGCGTCGAAAACGACACGTAGCTTCGTTGTTGTACTATCCAGTTTGAAAACTGCATGGTGGGGAAGATAGTACACGGGAAACTGATCTTCGACGTCCGGAACTTGCACCATGTGACCAAGTCGCTCGTACTCGTGGATGAAATCTGCGTACGCTGCCTTCAACTGGAACCGCCTCTCCAAGCCCAAAAATCTCCTTGTCGCTATGTTTCTGGACTCGCCGAGCTGATTGATGATGAATTCACGCTTAGGAAGTGCGACGATAAATCTGCCTGCATCATCACGAGTGGTTGTTTGATCGAAGAATACTTCACACGCCGTCTCCTCTACCGATTGACTACTACTGGAACGACAGGTTTCTATCTCCCAGAACTTCGTCAACTGTTCTTGCAGGTTTGCAAGTGTGCACGAATACGACAATGTGCGATGCATCGTGCCTGGTTGATCGGCTGCTCGACCGGAAACCACCCATCCAAAGACTGTATTTTGCAGTGTAGGGCCTTCATCTCCAACCTTCTCACGACCGTCAGAGAGCAGATTGAAGTAGTGTTCTGCTCCGATTATCAGATCGATGCAACCAGGTTCGTGGAACTGGGGATCCGCGAAGCTGATGTTAGTCGGGAGCGTCCAGTGGTTCACGTTGATTCTTCGTGCAGGCAAGGTTGCCGTTAACTCCGGCAAAACGTAGAAATTCATCTCCTCACGGTACGATGATATTTCCTGAGAGCGAGGTAGAACAGCTGCCTTAACTACCTTCCGCGCTACGACGACTGAACCACCGATTCCTTGGACTGATAGGTGTTCAGGTGAAGCTCGAAGCTTCAGTTTACTGGAGAAGTTTGTCGTCATGAAGCAGAATTGGGAGCACGAATCTAGTAACGCTCGAGCTAGTCGTGAGTTACCGTAACTATCCTTAACACACACAATGGCGGTGGACAGTAGAATATCTTGTGTGGATAGTGTATTGGTTGGAAGCGCGATAGTGTTCTGGGTTGTGCATGGTTGGTTTGTGGTGGACAGTGGTACAGTGTTATGCGAGTGTAATACGGGAAGAGAACTTGTAGACTGGTGAGCGCTGTGAGCGTGTGTTTGTTGGTTCTGGTTTGGTATTTGTGTCTGTGGTTGTTGCTGATTACCAGCTGGAGGTCTACTTTGCTCTTGTGGGACGGAGGATGTATTTCTAATAGCGCTTGACTGCTGTGATTCTGGGTGCAACAGGGAGTGATGCTTCTGATTACAGTGGTGGCACACGCCCTTGCTGCAAAATCGTGCCTGATGTCCTGGCGATAGACAGTTCAAGCAGAGTCTGCCTCTTTTCACAGCATCACTGCGTTCATGTACCTTCAGCTTCAAAAATTTCACGCAGCGAAAAGCGGAATGAAATCCGTCCCCACAAAACGGACACTTGTTCGATGACTTGACTGCTGAGTTGCTGACGGACGGCTTCGATCGTTTCTCTGGTATCGGCGTAGATTTGGCAGGAGCGACTGACTGCAACATGGAGCAATGATCTCGTAGGAAGTGGATGAGGTTTTCATACTTCGGCACCTCCTTCGAATTATGATGTGCTTCCCAGTTCCGAAGCGTTGCTGAGTCCAAACGAGAACACACCATGTGAACCAGAATGGTGCTCCAGTCATTGGTCTTTTCTCCTACCTTCTCCAACATCAGCAGGTTTTTGTCGAATTCGCTGATAAGACGATTAAGCGACTCGTAACTCTCCCTCCTGGTTGGCTCCACAGCAAAAAGTGCATCGAGATGGGCCTTGACGATCAGCTTTTTGTTTTCGTACCGTTTCTCCAGCGTTTCCCAGGCAATTGCGTAATTTACGTCAGACATTTCCACCGAGTTGATTTCCTGTAACGCTTCTCCATTCAACGACGATCGAAGGTACGTAAACTTGTCCATATCCGTTAGCTGTGGATTATTATGGATCAAGCTACGGAATGTATCTCGGAACGTTACCCATTCCTTGAGCGGTCCACTAAAGGTTGGCAAGCGAATCTCGGGAAGCTTAACACGTGATAATCCTGCACCGGCACCGTGCGCGACTGGTTGAGTGTTAGCCGTAGGATCTACCAGCTTCGGTCGAAGACTCATCAGAATGGCCTTGAGGGTACAGTACTTGTCTTCAGCATCCATGATAATCCTCGCATTTTCTGCATCTTTCTTGGGATCCATTGCAACATCTTCTTCATCGTCGTCAACATCATCCGTCAGTAGTTCGATCTTCCTACGGACGTTGTGGAATTCCTTGAAGGCAATTTCCAGTCGCTCCAACCGAATATCCACTTGCACACTATGCACTTCAACATCGAATCCTTCAACAAACAATTTCACTGAATCAAACGTCTTCAAGATGTTTCGTTCTTGTTTCACCAAGTCACGCAATTCATTAGCCATTTCCACTGATAGTTAATGTTCACTTACAATGTCACAAAAAGTTCAAACTGTTCACACACAGAAATATTTAACACTGCACTGTAATTCACTCCACTGCGCACCCGTACCCGTAATCGAATTATCGACTCGACGTCCCACGCGACCCCGCGGTTGACAGAGACAGGGGGAGCAAAGCAAAACCATCAACAGCAAAGATCCAACCAAACAGACCAGAGAAAAGAAACCAGCAGAATTTTATGACCAACCGTAATAGAAAACACAGAGGCTAAATGGATATCTACAATTCCCGTATGGGATGAAAAATACTCGCATGCATTTAGAAATTCAATTTATTCAGTTTGCACCATCAAATTTTTACTGCACTGATTCACCAATTCCATTTGACTCACATGCAAAGAGTTCACCAACAAACCTTTCACACATGCAATTACTTCCCCGGTCCTTTCCGCTGTTCCTTTGCTGCTGCTACGATCAGCTGATTTAGAGATGGCTGGACTGGAACAAATCAGCTGTCTGCCTCCAGCGATGGTGGTGATCGAGGTCGGCGAACGATGGCTACAGGTCACTGCACTAAGCCGCTTCGATGGCTACTTTTCACTGAGTCTTTTCACAGGGAGTCTTATTGTCCATATCACTGGTCACTTTTTCAGTCCAAAAGTCCCCGAAATCCGGTTCGAAGGACCAAAAATGTTCGACACTGGGGTGGACTGTATCACCGGACGGATTTCGGTACTTTTATGGAATGCACACGAGACGATTATAAATATAAAAACACCTTTATTGTGGTCAAATAAATACCCAACTGTTCGGACACTGTTTATTTGTTTGCCTTTCGATCGATTGACGGACAGAGTGTTCCTGCGCGCGTGGATGATTATAACTACTGAATACTGATCGGTAATCTTCTCCTATATGTTGCTTGCGATCGTGTACATGGGATGTGCGAAATAGAGAGTGAGTGCCTATTGCTGTGTGAAGTGTGTGATAAGAGTGGTGATAACAGAGATAGTGTGTAGCTGTATAACAATTTAGTGTAGGGTGACCAACATCTTATTTTGTGCCAACAAGAACTTAATCGTACTTTGACGCGAAGCGCTGTGGATTGTGAGATGCCCGATGACCCCAGAGGGATTGTTTTTGCTTACTGAGCAGAAAATCATGGATTTAACCCCAAGCTCTTCCACAGCACAGTAAATCGCCATCGTAATTTGTATATTTAAGATTAACCAAGCTCTCCATCATGACTCTTAAAATGCATGATCACTAAACAAAATGAATATTTTATTTCGATAGTCGCCTATCGAGAGATTAAATGAGCAACACATAAGCAATATATGCTTTTGGTTGAATCGCCAACTTGCGGCGAATTCTAACCGAATACCCTACCCAACCCTCTAAATCCGTAGCACTTATGAGCGTGTCGCTAAGTCGGTGGCCTCTCGTTAAGTAAGTACTACATCAACATCTCCTTCCCTATCCCTAGTTATGGTAAAGATGGACGTAGCCGGGAATAGTGACAGACATGCTTCTGATATCCAAATTTAGATTAGAATCAAAGTAGTCGGACTGAGAATTCCAAAAGAGTTGTGAATGTCGCTAGTATCCAATCATAACAACGCTAACGCTAACCTACAACGGTTGGTGGACTTCAAATTATGACTGCTTAAGAAAGCAAACGAATTGAGTTTTTAAAAAATATAATAATATTGCCTTGTCATCGTGACATAAGCATGATTAATGCTCTTCATCAGTTTTTTGTTTTTTTGCGAATATTTATCATTGCGAGCGGATAAACCGCCGTCAGATGCATACAGACAAGCATTGACGTCGATTGTTAAGTGCATCCCACACGACAATATTTATTGACAATAATCGTATTGTCAATTCATTCTATATTGACGTGAATACATCGATATTGGTAATTTTTATGTATTCACATCATCAATATTATTGTCAATACTTGTAAGTTTTACTGTGTGACCTTGATCTTAGCCATTATGTCCGGTGAATGCAGTTGCGTTGATGATGATCAAGGTTTTCCCTCTCTTGTGACTTCACATCCACATCCGACACTAGTTTTTCCCCTTTTTTTGTTCGAAATCAACAATGAGTAACAAGTGGGAGAGCATGCCTCTTGAAGCATGTGATCGTGTGTGATAAGCTGTAGCGTGCGCCCAGAGTGGACACAAGTGACGTGATGCTACCAATTTGGTGCTTTGAGATTGAAAACAAAAAAAATCGGTGTACATCATCTGCGTGATTACCTCTCACCCCAGCAGGCCTGGGTTCAATCCCAGTCGGCGCCGCCGGGATGTTCTGAGGCATAACATCTCTGATCACGCCTTCCTTCGGAAGGGAAGTAAAGCCGTTGGTCCCCGGTTCATGAGTTGATGGGTCGATAGGTAGGGTCCAGGTGTGGGAGCTGCCTTCCTGGCGTCGGTAGCATTGGTGCGCAGCACGGAAAACAAGATCGACGGAAAACAAATCCAAGAAAAAAAAAAAAAAAATCATCTGAAATAGCTTCATTTTATGAGCACAGCGATATTTTTTTCGAACCTTTGATTTCGATTTTTATATTAGGATTTCAAGAAAAATATTAACTTTACTGTGTGACACTAAACTAACGAATTGACTGCTCGCTCCCATACAAAGTCCCACCGAGGGGCGCTAAGATGGGGATTTTTGCCAATGTATTAATTTTTATGCTCATAAAAAGAGCATGCGAGTTACTTTAAAATTACTTCAGTTTTTAAATTAATATGACTTGAAAATTTAAGCATGTACAATTATAGCTCAATTTAATTTTGCGTGAGCTATAGTACTTCAGGCGACCTCCATTATTTTTACATCCAAATTTAATTTTACACGTTACTGCGTTAATTTAAATGAATTAGAGGAAGCGCATTTAACTAATAAAAGGCATGCAATTTTTACAGCTTTAACCGCACCGTCCTAGTGCCAGCGTGGGACTCTAAACAGAGCTGTGCACGATGGTCCCCCGGCGAGACAGGGGGTTGGGGTAGGCCCAATAAGCCGCCCTGAAAAAAAAACAAAGTTACAATTACTGAAGAAAGAAATACGGATCGGAACAATCGGTACAGACCTACGCGACGAAATAAGGACTACGCTTGGAAACTCGGAACATGGAACTGCAAATCGCTCGGCTTCCCGGGCTGCGATAGGTTAATCTATGACGAACTACAACCACGCAACTTCGAAGTCGTAGCACTGCAGGAACTCTGATGGCGGGACAAAAGGTATGGAAAAGCGGGCATCGAGTGGCTACTTTCTACCAGAGCTGTGGCACCACCAACGAGCTGGGAACCGGCTTTGTAGTGCTGGGTAAGATGCACCAACGCGTGACTGGTTGGCAGCCGATCAACGCGAGTTTCTTCAACTACCGCATCATCAACGTGCACTGCCCACACGAAGGAAGACTCGACGACGATAAAGAAGCGTTCTATGCGCAGATGGAGCAGGTGTACGACGGCTGTTCGCAACGGTTTAAATGAATGCACAGGTAGGACGGGAGGCAATGCATAGGTAGGCAATTGGGCCAAACAGCCTGCATGCCGCATCGAACGACAACGGCCAACGATGCGTGAACTTTACAGCCTCTCAGGGTATGGTAGTTCGAAGTACCTTTTTCCCTCGCAAGGATATCTACAAATCCACCTGGAGATCACCTGACCAACACACAGAAAACCAAATCGATCACGTTCTAATCGACGGGAAATTCTTCTCCGACATTATCAACGTCCGCACGTACCGCAGTGCGAACATAGATTCGGACCACTACCTAGTTGCAGTATGCATGCGCTCAAAACTCTCGACGGTGCATAACACCCGTCGAAGTCGAACGCCGCGACCCAACATTTAGTAATTACGGGACGCCGGAGTTGCTCAGGACTACGCGCAGCAGCTGGAAGTTGCACTACCTACGGAAGAGCAGCTTGGCACAGCTTCTCTTGAAGGTGGCTGGAGGGACATCCGTTCCGCCATAGGTAGTACTGCTGGGGTGTGAAGTTGTTCGCCTCCCCGTGGTGCACCCTGGAAACGATGGACCACCAGTGCTGCGGTACTGATCCAGTCGGCTAATCGAACAACAAACGAGGGGAAGCGCCGGAAGGTGCCTTGCGATCGATGTCAGTAAGATCGCAAGTATGTATACTGACACACTGGCATTATGTAGGACACTGAGTGGAAACTTACCATAAACCACGCTACGGGCTGGCACTCAAGGTATTTCATTCTCTTAGTAGAGTCGGGTGGAACCGGCCGAAACGACGTTTGAGCTAATGCCTTGTTTGTCTCCGTCCCATAAAACCCTGGCAGGCCTTAGAATACGTTCCTCCCGTGCCACCCAGTTGGGGCTGCGGTGGGAATAGGTTCGGTTGAGTTATTCCCGCATGAAGGCCTATGTCAACCCTCGCCATGGACCTCACTGCTCGCATAGGCACCCATGGGGATCAATCAGCGACTATTCCATTTGCACGGTAGGATAGCGGTCTAAGGGGGACCCAACAGTCGGGATGATTTCAAACAATCATCAACAAAACCAAAAACCCCAAACCCCAGTTGAACAAGTCGCCGAGGAGGCGACCGCGAACCCGTTCGCGAAGGGAGGTCTACCCAGATCTCCTGAACACAGAGAGCCGAACAAACGGTCGAAATCTCCGCGCGATGCAGAGACAACGGCCGGGATCGGTGGACAGCCGGAAGAGCAGCCGAAGGACTGGCCCGGGCTAATCAGAACTATGAATAGCTTTGGGTCCCTAGGCTGCTGGCAATCGCGGGTCAACTCGACGCCATAATAGAGTTCACGAGTACGAAGAGCAACATCGCGAAGGACCTAAAGCAGGCCTTGCGACAGCTCCGTGCAACCGTGAACGAGGCCCAGGACGACCACGAGCGGCTCAGGAAGCGACTAGAGGTCGCAGAGAGGGCGGAACAGAAGGAACCGAAGTCTACCCAGACGGACGCCTTCAACTTCGCGGGCA